AAAAAAAAACATTATGATCTGACATTTAACAATAATTATTGAATCAGCTTACATAATGTTGTAATTCTATTTGCCATTTTCCAATGGCATTTATTTGACAAGTTCGATAATTTTCTTCGGTCGTTTGATGATCGGAAGTTCCTTTGCATTTGCTTGGTACACCATATACTGTTTTATATGGTATCATATTTCTATCAAGTGACTTTTTATCTTGAACATTCTCAGCAACTATCATTTGAATGAAATAGCAAAATAAAAGAATATTCTTCAAAAGCATAATAGTATTCATAATATTCTCGTTCAACAAAAAATAACAAAATAAAATAAACATTTTTTTCCATTCTGATTCTGATTTTTATATTTTTATTTTCACTATTGTTATTGTATTTTCAATTACGAACAATTTTAACAATTAAATTTCGAACATTTTTTTTTCTTCTATCGAACATTTAATTTGTAATCGTAATCGTTTGCCATCAGCACTTGAAAAAAACATGTTCAATAAAAAAGAATATATGCAAAGAAAATTCCAACATTGGATGGCAAACGTTGTTCGTTGAAGATATTGAAAGAAAATTGGCGTCAAACTCTATGATACTAGACAAACTCTAATGAGAATATTTTATTTTTTTTTTAAATTTTAATTTAAAAATTAAAAATTGATATCCTTTATTGATTAAATCAAACGATTATTTTTAGTCGATACACTTTTCAAACATATAATAATTTTCATTTTATTCACCCAAAATTACCCAAAAAAAATAAAATCAACCATTTTTTCCGGATTCAGATTTTTATTGTTTCCACTATTTGTTTTTATCGGATTCAATTTGTTTTGAATAGCTGTATTTTTTGAATTCATATTTTTTGAATTTGAATTCACAAAAAAAAAATGAAAGGCCATCAAAAAAACTGTTTGTTTTGTAAGAGAAAATTTTGTGAGTAATTTTTTTTTTAATAATATCAATGAAAATAAATTAAAAGAAAATTTTTCATTTAAAATTTTTGGATATAATCATTAATTTGATGTTCAGACATTTGTGCTGCTGCTTTTAAAAGTATTTGATTCACTGATCTTTGCATTCGTCTTCTAAACGAATCCGTACTGGATGATTGTGATTGTGATGATGATCTTGAATGACTACCATATTGTTGATAAGATTGATCAGGCATATTTTCTGCAATATTCATTGATATGGTTGGTACTGGATTAGAAATTGATCTTTTATATCTATTGCGTGCTGAATAAGCTTTTGCTTCCGAAAGTAAATCTTTTAAAATCGAATCGTTCTTGTCTATATTCATTGTGGCAAACCGACTATGTGCAGTATCATAAAAATATTTGCCCTTAGTTGTATAAAGCTCTTTGAAAAACCAAACATAATAATCGACTGGTTTATCGTATATTCTTGGTTTAATCATAGCTTCATAGTAAAGAAAATCTTCTTGTTCTGCACTTATAAGTGGATTTGGACCTTCTACTAATTTANAATTTCGTTAAGTATATATTCTCGATATTGTTTATTTTCTGATTCTGAGGTATCAATCATTTGATGCAAATATTTTCTGTCCTGATCAGTCAGGATTGGTTTAATTCGACTCTTAATGGTTTCTTTATCATCTAGCAACAATTCACCCATTAAAGATTTGACATAATCATCTCTAAATAGTATTGCCTCTTTCGTTTTGGAAAAATCACTCTGAGCCTGACTCTGGAGATCCAACATTGTTTTAAGAACCGAATTTCTGTATACTTTTTTTATCGGATTTTGATCGATCTCTTCACTTAAAATGTGCTCTTCTTCATTGGTTAATATTGGTCTAATACGATATTCTAATGAATATAAGCTGGTTTCATTTACTTTTTTCCATTTTGATCTGAAAATTTTTTTAAACTTTTCTGCAAAACCAGAATTCTTAACTTCATTTACAATCGCTTTTTCCGTGTTATTTCTGGTTCCTCCAAATTGCATAATTTGATCACAAATTCTTGTCTCTTTGCTGACAATATCAATTTCCATTTCTTCGTATGCTTTTTCTATTTTTTCATCTAATTTCTTTAATTGTTCGTCAATTGCATTTTGATTTTCTTTATATTCACATTTGAGAGCGTCATACTCACTTTTTGCATTTTTATTTTTTTTTGAATTTTTTTCCAAATCACTCAATTTATTTATATAATCTTTCTCTTTAATATCCCATCTATTTGTAATATTTTGCCTTTCATCCAAGAGATCATAGTATGGATATCTAATTCCATCTTCGTATGCTTTTCTTGCTACTTCCGAATATTTTGATCTTTCGACCATTTCTGGAAAATTTTCTAATTGTCTTTTCAACGAATTGTTTCTTCGTAATTGGAAAATAAATTTTTTTTTAAGTTCTGCTATTCGATCATCAGCTTTTCTTTTTTCAATAGCCATTTTTTCTTTCATAAATTTTAATTGTTGTTCTAATTGTTCTCTGCCATATCTTTGTTCTGCTTCCAAACTTTCATTGGCATGTCTATCACGTTCTTCTAATTGGGCGTTGGAAAATCTTTGTAGATTTTCTATTTGTTTTTTGGCTAAACTTTGTTGTTCCTCTAATTGTTTATTGAATAATTCTTGTTGTTCATCTAATTGTTTTTGTAGAACATATTTTTCATATTTGGCTGATTTTTCTTGTTCTTCCAATTTTTTATTCAACGATTTTTCTAGTTCTTCAAATTTTTCATTCATCGATTTTCTTTGTTCTTCCAATTTTTCATTCATTAATTTTTCTAGTGCGTCTAATTGTTCTTTTGCTTTTCTTCGTTGTTCTTCTAATTGTTCTTTTGCTAATCTTTGTTGTTCAGCAAATTCTTTTTTCATCGATTTTTCTTGTTCGGTAAATTGATCTATTGTTGCTAATTGTTCATTAATTATTCTTTGTTTTTCGGCTAATTCTTTTTTCATCAATTTTTCTTGTTCATCTAATTTTCTGTTCATTATTTGTCGTTCTTTTTCCAGTTCTTCTCTATTTAATCTTTGTTGTTCGGCTATTTTTGCATTCATTATTTTTTTTTGTTCATCCAATTCATCATTCATCAATTTTTTTTGTTGGTCAAAATTTTTTTCAGTTTTTCTTAGTTGTTCCTCCAATCTTTCTTTTTCTTGTAATAGTTCATCGGTTAATTTTTTTTGTTTGTCAAATCTTTCGTTGGCTATTCTTTCTTGTTCGGCAAATTTTTCATTGGCTAATCTTATTTGTGCTTCTAATCGTTCGTCAGCTATTTTTTGTTTTTCGGCTAATTTTGTATTCATCAATTTTTCTAGTTCAGCCAATTTTTCATTCATCACTTTTTCTTTTTCGGCTAATTCTTTATTCATCAATCTATCTTTTTCAGCCAATTGTTGATTCATCGATTGTTCTTGTAGTTCAAATCGTTCATCGGCTAATCTTTGTTGTTCTTTAAATCGTTCTTCATCTGATCTTTTAAGATCGGCTAGTTTTTCTTTTTCTTCTGATAGTTCTCTTTCTAATTTTTGTTGCTTTGCTAATAATTGTTGTGCAAATTGTTGTTGTTTTTCTATTTCTTCTTTAGATAATTTTTCTTGATTGGATAATTTTCCTTGTAAGGCTAATTGCTCTTTCATTAATTTTTCCAGCTCATCAAATCGTTTTTGGGCTAATCTATCGTGTTCTTGTAATCGTTGTTCAGCTGATTCTCGTTCTTGAGCTAATCTTTCGTCAGATAATCTTTGTTGTATGGCTAATTGTATTTTGGTTGATTTTTTTTGCTCCTCTAATTGTTCATTGGACATTCTTTGTTGTTCGGCCAATATATCATTCAGAAATTTTTCTTGTTCGGCAAATTTTTTATTCATCAATTCTGCTTGTTCAGCCAATTTTTGATTCATCAATTCTTCTTGTTCGGCCAATTGTTGTTTGGTTAATCTTCGTTGATCTTCTAATCGTTGTTCAGCTAATTTTACTTGTTCGGTTAATTGTTCTTCAGTTACTCTTTTTTGTTCGATTATTCTTTTTTTTTCTGCTAATAGTTGTTTGACCCTTTTTGTTTGTTTATCTAATTCTTGTTTGATTAATTTATATTGTTGTTCTAATTCTCCTTTAGATAATTTTTCTTGATTGGACAATTTTCCTTGTTCGTCTAATTGTTCATTCATCAATTTTTCTAGTTGGGCATATTTTTCATCGGCTATTCTTTGTTGTTCTTTTAATCGTTCATCGGCTACTCTTAGTTGTTCGGCAAATTCTTTATTCATCGATTCTGCTTGTTCAGCCAATTTTTTATTCATCAATTTTTCTAGTTCGGCTAATCGTTTTTCAGCTAATTCTCGTTGTTGAACTAATCTTTCGTCAGATAATCTTTGTAGTTCGGCCATTTGTATTTTATCTAATCTTTTTTGCTCCTCTAATTGTTCATTGGCTATTCTTTGCTGTTCGGTCAAATTTTTATTAAACAATTCTTCTCGTTCGGTTAATTTTTTATTCATCAATTCTGCTTGTTCAGCCAATTTTTGATTCATCAATTTTTCTAGTTCGGCTATTCTTTCTTCAGCTAATTTTTTCTCTTCGGCTAATTTTCCTTTTTCTTCCATTAGTTCTTTTAATAATTTTTCTTGTGTGGTTAATTTTCTTCCTCTTGATTTTTTTTTGTTTTCTAATTCTTTTATAGTTGATTTATCTTTTTCGGACAATGTTTTTTGTTCATCTAATTGTTTTTCCATTAATGTTTTTTGTTCAGCCAATTTTTTATCCATCAATTCTGCTTGTTCAGCCAATTTTCTATCCATTATTTTTTGTTGTTCCGCTAATTGCTCTTCCGATAATCTTTTTTGTTCGATTAATTCTTGATTGGATATTCTTTGCTGTTCGGCTAAATTTTCTTTATATATTTTTTTTTGTTCTTCCAATTTTTCATTCATTATTCTTCGTTGTTCTTCTAATTGTTCATCCATTATTTTTTGTTGTTCTGCCAATTTATCATTCATCAATTTTTCTTGTTCAGCAAATTTTACATTCATCAATTTTTCTTGTTCAGCAAATTTTTCATTCATCAATTTTTCTTGTTCGACTAATCGTACTTCTGCTAATTTTTTTTCTTCGGCTAATTTTTCTATTTCTTCTGTTAGTTCTTGTATTAATTTTTCCTGTTTTTCTATTTTTTCTCTTCTTAATTTTAGTACATCATTTAATTCTTGTATAGTTGTTTGATCTTGTATGCAAATTCTATCTAGTTCGGCAATTTCTTCCTCCATTATTCTTTTTTGTTCGGCCAATTTTTTATTCATCAATTCTTCTTGTTTAGCGAATTTTTCATTCATCAATTTTTCTTGTTGATCTAATTGCTCTTTGAATAATCTCTGTTTTTCTTTCAATTGTGTTTCGGCTAATCTTTTTTGTGCGTCTAATTGTTCATCGGCTAATTTTTTTTCTTCGGCCAATTTTTTATCTGACAATTCTTTTTGTTCGGCCAATTCTTTATTCATCAATTTGGTTTGTTCATCCAATTTTTCATTCATCAATTTTTCTAGATTAGCTAATCGTTCTTCATATGTTCTTCGTAGTTCTTCTATTTGTTCTTCAGCTATTTTTTTTTGTACAGCCAAATTTTCATCGTTTAATTTTTTTTGTTCGGCCAATTTTTTATCTGACAATTTTTTTTGTTCGGCTAATTCTATATCGAACAAATTTCTTTGTTCAGCCAATTTTTCATTCATCAATTTTTCTCGTTGGGCTAATTGCTCATTGAATTCTTTTTGTTGATTTTTCAATTCTTCTCTTACTAATTGTTCTCGTTCGGACAATTTTCCTTCTGCGGCTAATCGTTCATTCATCAATCTTTCTAGTTCGTCTAATTGTTTTTCATGTATTCTTTTTTGTTTGTCTAATTGCTCATTGGTTAATCTCTGTTGTTCGTCTAATTGTATTTTCGTTAATTTTTTTTGCTCCTCCAATTCATCTTTGCTTATTTTTTGCTGTTCGGCTAATGTTTTATCGAACAATTCATTTTGTTCGGTTAATTTTTGATTCATCAATTCATTTTGTTCGGCTAATTTTTTATTCAACAATTCATTTTGTTCGGCTAATTGTTTTTCAAATATTTTTCGTTGTTCTTCTAATTGTTGTTCAGCTATTTTTCGTTGTCCTTCTAAAAGTTCTTCAACTGATTTTTTCTCTTCAGCTAATTTTTCTTTTTCTTTTATTAGATCATCTATCAATTGTTTTTGTTTGGCTATTCTTCTTCTATGTAATTTTTGTTTATCTTCTAATTCTTTTATAGTTGATTGTCCTTGTTCGGACAATTGTCCTTGTTCGGTTAATTGTTCTTTCATTATTCTATCTCGTTCTTCTAATTGTTCTTCATATATTCTTTGTTGATCGGCCAATTTTTCATTCATCAATTTTTCTAGTTGGTCAAATCGCTCTTTTTCCAATCTTTGCTGTTCGTCTAATTGTTCTTTGGCTAATCTTTGCTGTTGGGCTAATTGTTCATCGGCCAATTTTTGTTGTTCCGCCAATTTTTTATCGAACAATTTTTGTTGTTCGGCTAATTTTGCATTCATCAATTTTTCTTGTTCGGCTAATTTTGCATTCATCAATTTTTCTTGTTCGGCTAATTGTTTTTCAAATAATTTTCGTTCTCTTTCTAAAAGTTCTTCAGCTAATCTTTTTTGGTCCTCTAGTTGTTTTTTTTCTAATTTATGTTGCTCAGCTAGTTCTTTTTTTTCATTCATTAGATCTTGTATCAATTTTTCTTGTTGAGCAATTTTTTTTTGTTGTTCTTTGAATTCTTCGTTAGTTAGTTTTGTTTGTCCGGATAATTTTCTTTGTTCGGCTAATTGATTCATCATCAATCTTTTTTCTTCTTCTAATCGTTTTTCAGCTAATCTAAGCTCTTCTTCTAATTGTTTTTTGGATAATCTTTGTTGTTTGTCCAATTCTTCTTTGGCTAATCTTGTGTGTTCGTCTAATTGTTCTTTGGCTAATCTTTGCTGTTCGGCTAATTTGTCTTTGGCAAATTTTTGTATTTCGGCCAATTTTTCATTATACAATTTTGCTATTTCAGCCAATTTCACATTCATCAATTTATCTTTTTCAGCCAATTTTACATTCATCAATTTTAATTGTTCGTCTAATTGTTTTTTAGCTAAACTTTGTTGTTGTTCTAATCGTTCTTGAGCTATTCTATGCTGTTCGATAAGGCTTTCTTTTTCTTGTAATAGTTGTTCTATTACATTTCGTTGTTTTTTGATTTCTGCTTTTGTTAATTGTTCTTGTCGAGATAATGTTTCTAGTCTGGCTAATTGTTCTTTGTTTAATCTTATTTGTTCTTCTATTCGTTCTTCAGCTTTTCTTAGTTGTTCGTCTAATTGTTCTTTAGCTAATCTTCGTTCTTCGTCTAATTGTTTTTTGGATAATATTTGTTGTTCGTCTAATTGTTCTTTGGTTATTCTTTGCTGTATGGCTATTTTTTCTTTCATCAATCTTTCTTGCTCGGCTAATTTTTCATTCATTAATTTTGCTTGTTCAGCCAATTTTTCATTCATCAATTTTTCTAGTTCGGCAAATCGTTCTTCAGCTGATTTTTGCTGCACTACGAATCGTTCTTCATTTAATCTTAATTGTTCGGCTAGTCTTTCTTTTTCTTCTGTTATTTTTTGTACTAATCTTTGTTTTTTGGCTAATTTTTTTTTGTTCAATTTGTCTTTTTTTTCTAATTGTTTTTTAGTTAATTTTTCTTGTTTTTTTAATTCTTTTATGTACGAATTTGTTTCCGAAATCACGCTCGAATCATCTGATGATTCTGATTCAGGTTTATACTCAATTACCTCGCCGGATGGTGCTTTAGTCCAAATTTTTTTCATCCTTATTATGATAGTTTGTTTTTCTGTTATTTTGTTTTGTGTTGAATCACCTTTAAGCTTTCCTGTAAGATTTTTCCAAGCTTTTTTTATTAATGAGACTGTTTGTTCATCTTTTTCTGGCTTTTCGACTTGGGACGAATCACTTGCTGTAATCATATTTCCACGATCAACCGCTGGTTTTGATAATGATGATTGCTCGCTTAAAACGCTGGTTGGTGCTTGTTGCTTCTTGAATTCATGCCAAACTTTTTCAAGACTTTCGTTTGTTTGACTTGCTTTTGGTTTCGATTCTGATTGTGCTCTTCTTAACACGCTGACCGGTGTTTGTGTCTTATTATCTCTGTATGAATTCCTTCTTAGGATTTTCGTTGGTTCATCTTCTGTTGTTTTCGATCCATGCGTTGAGCTTTTCATTGAATTCCCTTTTTTTATTAATTTATTATCAGTTTCTCCAATTGTAGTCCCTCCCACTGTCATTTCAAACTTTTTGTCAAATTCATTTCGAAATTTATTCCTTGTGTCTATAAAGTTTTTCGACCATTCTTTCAGCTGATCCTCATTTCCGGATTCAGGAAAATCTGTATTTTTTATTGTTTCACGATAAACATCGAGATGTTCTTGATTCAAAGTCGGGATCATTTTTGCCAAAATTGGATCGTCCTTTATTTCTTCAATCGCACTTTCATTCCCTGTTGATATTTTGTCCAATTCTAATCGATTTTTTCGGATATTTTCATACTGTCGACGAGCTTCCGATCGGATCAGTTCTTCTCTTTTCAGTTGTTCTTCACTATTCCCTTTCGAAAAAGGCCATAAACTTTTGAAATATTTTTTAGCTTTCGTCTTAAAACCGGTTGGTTGTTCGTAATATTTTTCTGGATCTTTATTGAAATCATCCCAGAAACTCGGATCTTTTTTCGAATCTGCCTCGATTTGTGAATTGATTTGCTTTTTGATTTTGTTCAATTCTTTTTTCGGTATTTTCACATTTTCTTGTTTTTTGATTTGTTGTGCTTCTCCATTCTCACTTGTTTGTTTAGGAACATTTGTGAAATATTGTTTATCTTGAATATCCACTTCATGGTCATAAACCGCGCGAATGTATTCCTTTTCATATTTTTGTCGAAATTTCTCTGCTTTGTAAGCTTCTTTTGCCATGAATTCTGTGTTATACTCCTTTCTCCAAAATTTAATACATGAGTATAACAAATACAAGAATAGTCCGATTCCTGCACCAATTGCTATTCCTTTCCATATCCAATCATCACCTCCATCCTCACTCTTGCCACAAGGTTTTTTCGCCACGATTGGTTGACATGATTTATCAAACAATCGTCTTGTTTCTTTGTCATTGCGGTCGGAATAGTCTGGATCACATTCATACAACACTTTGGTTTCGCATTTTAGGACATCATATACAAAGCAACAAAAATTCCAACTTTCAGTGTACTGTGTGTTGAGAAAAAAAANCAAAATTTAATACATGAGTATAACAAATACAAGAATGCTCCGACTCCTGCACCAATTGCTAATCCTTTCCATATCCAATCATCACCTCCATCCTCACTCTTGCCACAAGGTTTTTTCGCCACGATTGGTTGACATGATTTATCAAACAATCGTCTTGTTTCTTTGTCATTGCGGTCGGAATAGTCTGGATCACATTCATACAACACTTTGGTTTCGCATTTTAGGACATCATATACAAAGCAACAAAAATTCCAACTTTCAGTGTACTGTGTGTTGAGAAAAAAAAACATATTATGATTTGATTGGAACAATAATTATTGAATCAACTTACATAATGTTTAAATGTTATTTGCCATTTTTCAATCGCATTTATTTGACAAATTCGATAATTTTCTTTAGTCGTTTGATGATTGGACGTTCCTTTACATTTGCTTGGTACACCATATACTGTTTTATATGGTATCATATTTCTGTCAAATGACTTTTTATCATGAGCATTATTAGCGACAATCAGTTGAATGAAATAGCAAAATAAAATAGTATTCTTCATAAACATAATAGTATTCATATATTCTCATTCACCAAAATTACAAAATAAAATAAACATTTTTTCCCATTCGGACTCTGATTTTTATGTTTTTCATTCCACTATTGTTATTGAATTCTATTTCGAGCTTTCAACAATTGAATTTGAACATTTTTTTTTCAATCGAACACTTTAATCATTCATTTATTCAAGAAAAAAAATCCTTATACCTAAAGATTAGAGTATAAAATCGAACATTTAAATTTCATTATTGTTTCAAATCGATAAAAAAATTATGAAAATTCAAGTTAATCAAGTTCGATTAAAGTTAGACTAATGGATTGTTATCGAGGAGTTAACAAGTTCTATAAAGAAATTATGCGAAAACTTACTCTCTTCCTCTTTGACTCATGTTGAAAGTTTCAAAAAAACTGCTTGGTTAGAAAATAAATGAGAAACATTTTATTTTTTTTTTGTGTAAATTTTTTTTACAAATATCAATGAAATATAAATATAAAAAAAATATTTTTCATTTAAAATTGTTGGCTATAACCAGTTAATGGATGTCCTGGCATTTGTGTTGCTGTTTGTAAAAATGCTTGATTCACTGATCTTTGAACTCGTTTTGTCAACGAATCAGTATTGGATGTTTGTGTTGAGGATGATGATGATTTAGGTTGAACACCATACTTTGATTGTTGTTGATTGGATGATGGTATGGCCGTATTTTCTGCAATATTCATCGCCAATGCTGGTGTTAGTTTTGACATTGATTTTACATATTCATATTGCCGAACTGATTCGGTAAATAAATTTTTCAAAAATAAATTATTTTTTTTTGTATTCAATGTTGAGAATCGAACATGTGTAGGATCATAAAAATATTTGCCTTTAGTTGCAAAAAGCTCTTTAAAATACCAAACATTATAATCGATTGGTTTATTGAATATTTTTGGTTTAATGATTGCTTCAAAGTAAAGAAAATCTTCTTGTGGGGCACTTATAGTTGGATTTGGACCAGGCACATATTTACGCTTAAAATTAGATATAGGATATTCTGGTTTATTTGGATCATCAGATAATCTTTCTTTGAATATTTTTAAAAATTCTATTACAAAATCATGATCACTTTCATTATAAGGTTCGGTTTGTAGCCATTGTTTAATATGATTAATTATAATAACACGATAATTTCTATGTATTTTTTTTGGCACAGACAATTTTTGATTTATATAACGTTGATCCTCATAAGTCAGAAATGGTTTAATTTTACTCTTATCGGATTGAAGATTTTCATTCAATAATTTCTGATATAATGGTTTAAAATAATCATCTCTAAATAATATTGCCTCTTTTGTTTTGCTTATATCTTTTTCAGCTAAACTTTGAAATTCCAACATTTTTTCAAGAATCGACATTCTATATTCTTTTTTTTCCGAACTTTGTTCGATTGCTTGTTTTAAATTGTTTATTTCGTCATCGGTAATTATTGGTTCAATACGATATTCTAATGGATCTAACACCACTAAGGATTCATTTGTTTTTTTATCTTTTGTTTTGAAAATACCCTTAAACATTCTTCCAAAACCAGATTTATTTTTCTGTTCATTTTCCGAAAATGATGTTAATTTTGATT